GGAGCCAACAGGTTGTTCTTCCCGGGACTTAACATAAACAAACAGAATTAATAAGAATAATGCAAAAGGCGTAGATGGAGCTTCTTGAAACTGGTCTTAAGTTACTGCCTTCAGTCTTTCGTGGAAATGTTTAATGTTACAGATGATTAAGAGAAACGATTTAAGGACCTGTGATTCTTATGGTTGAGCTCCTAGAATTATTTTCAACTAAATGAGGATAACAATGTCCTAGTAATGATAGCAGGATGGATACTCGTACTAATAGTTGTTTCTCTTTAGTACTTTCCTAGTGATATTTCTGGTGCGAAGGATTTAGCAAAAACTGTGATGTGTTGCAACTACTATTTGATATGTTAAGTGTTGCTGTCCACAACGGTTATCGAGGAATTGTATATTAATAGCAACTGCCTCTTAGTACGACAATTATCAATACTACTACTTCCGCAACTAATAGTATTATTACTAGTGCTACTAGAGTTATTCTAATATTGCAGTTACTGTCTCCTCTGCTTCTATCACTTTCCCACTTCTGCAACATCCACACCTACTACTATCGTTACCACTACACCACTACAACTGTGACTATCAAACTATTAATTCTAATTTTGCTCTATTAACTCTAGCGCACTTCAGCCACTACTATTATCACTACTTCCGCCACTGTTACTCCTGCTATTTACGTCTATTTTTAATAGCGAACATTACACTAACCACAAACGACTTACCGCGTTGCATGGCGGAAGAAACCTCTCTCTATATATATAAACAAAAACCGCCTCCTCGACCTCTCGCTTGGTTTTCTCTCCCTGGGAACGCTGCAAGTCCTCCGGCGCCGCCTGCCACGGGCAGGTTGCGACAGGGAGAGGACTTGAGAAAATTCGCACAAAATTGGAAGAAGGAGAAAGAGAGGAGGAAAGAGAGAAAAACAAAGACGAGAATAGGGTTCATGGGAGAAAGAAGGAACTTGAGAAAACTCATACAAAATTGGAAGTGAGAGGAAAAGAGAGAGATAGAGAGAGAGAGAGAGATAGATAGAGAGAGATAGATAGATAGATAGATAGATAGATAGATAGATAGAGAGAGAGAGAGAGAGAGAACAAGAGAAAGGTGCAAGAGAGAGAATTTTTTTTTTTCGAAAATTAAAAGAGAAAGAAAAAAGACAAGAAAAGGGCGCGTTCCCCAAGGGCGGCCCAAGAAGGACTCTTTCTCTCTCCTTCGTTTTCAACCCGAGTGACATATGGGCGGGGGCGGGGGGGGGGGGTATTCCTGCGCACAACGAGGCTTTCTCGGCAGAAAATAAACACACGTTGGAATACTCGACCTTCGCACGAAGAGCCGATATTAAGTCTTTATGAGTTTCCGGTGCGAAGTGCGGACGATTATTTTTTTTTTTTCTAGCTATTTTTCGGATTTTCTTATATTCTATATTCTTCTCTCCTTTCATCTTGAGGGAATTGGTGCACGGAGAGACTAACGGAAGATGCTGACGAAAAAGAAATTTCATCTCGTTTGTTAAAATACGCTAATAGCGTACACGCACACGCACACGCACACACGCACACACACACACACACACACACACACACACACACACACACACACACACACACACACACACACACACACACACACACACACACTCTCTCTCTCTCACCCACACACATACCGAAAAGAATGATGAGCAAAACGGCCACAATTTGCGATATGCGAGTGCGTTCGAAACATCGCGAAGCATGACACGAACGCGGGCTGCAAGAACGACGCAAATCACGGGGCGAATAGCGGGGTTCACGGGGCGAATAGCGGGGTTAGACTATAACCTCGTTGAATCAACCAACATCTGAGGGATTCACATTGTTCTTGCCTTCGTCTAAGCCAAGCGTGCTTCCGCCAGCCATCTCTTCGGCGTTGCAGTCGCGCGTCGGGAGAGAGAGGGAGAAGGAAAAGAAGAAGAAGGAGAGAGAGAGAGAGAGAGAGAGAGAGAGAGAGAGAGAGAGAGAGAGAGAGAGAGAGAGAGAGAGAGAGAGAGAGAGAGAGAGAGAGAGACGGGAGGACACGTCGTCGCTATCGTGAGCGAATTCGAGCTGACCTGCATCTTTCCCTCCGTTGTATTAATCCCCGTCTTCCTCCCTCCCTCCTGCTCCTCCTCCCTCCCCCCCTCTCACTTCCCTTCCACCCTCCCCCCCTTCCCTCCCCCCTCCTTCCTTCCCTCCCTCAGGATCTACGCTATTAGAGCTCCTAATGTCCTCTCGAGGGGGGCTGGATGCCAAGGTTCCTCCAGCTCTGACTTTCCGCTCGCGACCGCCGGGTGAAGGCTGGGGAGGGCCCGGGGTTAGGGTAGGGCCCTGGGCGAATAGGGGAGGCGTGTAGAGGGGGTGGTTGGGGAAGGGGGTGTAGAGGGGGGTAGGAAGGTCTACAAGGGGGGGAGGTAAAGGGATGAAGACGAATTAAGGGCCTTCAGAGAGGAGACAAGAGGGGGATATAACCTGGCGAAGGGCATGAAAGAAGGAACTTGAAAGGTTCTCGTGGGACGTAATCTCTTCTCGAGTACTGTTGGGAGTTGATGATGACGTCATCCTCAATTCGGTCGCTGATTGGCTCTTCGTGACCCTGGAAGGCGCCATGTTTTCCTTTTTGGCGCCATTTCTCTCCTCGGCGATTTTCACACGCGAAATATCTTTCTTTTCGGCGTCGCCAAGAGTCTACCAATTTCTCTGTAAATTCTCACCGTTTTCATCCTCTCCTTCCAGGTCTGCAGCGAGCGTGAAGGACAAAGGCAAAATGTGCTCGCTAAAAGCCATAATATCGTGTGGCATCTTATTGGCCGTCATGGACATCGTAAGTTTCATCAAGATGTTTTCTTAAGTAAATATAAATCAAATTATCTTTATATATGTATATATATGTATATCATATATATAACTAATGAACAACAAACAAAACGAATCACTGTCTCATATAAAGGTCTCTTGCAAAGAAAAAGAGAAAAAATAAGAAAGACGTAACACTTGGAAAGTGAAATTTGGTTACGTACTTGGTACATAGACACCTCTGACATCATACACAGTTAAAAAAGAGAAAACACGTAGATTAACATCCATTGTTTTGCATCTCGGTTTCATTGTTTCCTGGTCTCTTATTACCAGAAAATGAGTGTGAGTGTGTGTGTGTGTGTGTGTGTGTGTGTGTGTGTATGTTGATTCGCAACCCCGCACTCTACAGACTCGACGAAACGCTAAAACTTTCCCCTTTGCTTTGCAGTTCCAAGGGTTAATAACTCTCGGATGGTATGGCTACCGCTTCGTGTCCTATTACTTCTATCTGTGCCCCAGAGAGCTGCCCATTGACCAGTGCCACGCAGAGAAATATCACTACGAGCAATGTAAGTTAAGACTGTAACCCCCTCAAGAAGCAAACCATAAAGTAACAATAGCAACAACAACAAAAACATAACCCTTCTAAAAATATAAAGCAACAATAATAGCGACAAGAAAAACTTGTCTATTCATATATATATTTTACCCATTCGCTCCTTTGTTCATGAAGTTCTAATCGCGTGGTTTGAGCTATAAATACTTTTTATCATTATCGTTTTTTTCAATCTTCTAATTACGGTGAATCATACTTTGTTTGATTGAGAAACAGGGAATGGTGCTTTGGTGATTAATTTCCGACGCAACTGGTAATGATTTTGTTTGCGTTTCAGTGTACACCCTTCGCACCTACATCGGCATCGGCGAAGGTGCCGTGACCCCGATCTTTGCTGCTATTTACATCGTTGCTCTCGTCAGGGTAAGTACGCTCATCTCTACATCGCTCGGCTGCACGCGGTCACACAGGCAGAGAGTCACAAATAAACATGGAGCCATGCAAACATAAACAGACATATATATAAGAGAGCAGAAAAGGATATCAGTACACGGTGATATATGTAGATAAACACACACACACACGCGCGCGAGCGCGCACGAAGGAACACAAACACATAGAAGCAAACACATACAAACGAGACACGAGCACAAACACGCACACCCACCCTCGACCCACACGCACCGGCGCAGAATCGTGACCGTTCTGCCCGAGAGCTCAGCCCAGAAGCCACCGTGACATGAGAGAGCATTATCCTCTAGTTTTTTGCTTTTTTATGACACTGCGCCACTCGATGATACAAACCATGAAGAAAATGCAAATGCACGCTAGTTCTAGATTTCCTTGTAACGTGAACCATCTGTTTCCTCAGCATAAGCCGTGGCTCGCCTGGTGCTGGCTCATCAAGGCCTTCGGCGCCCTGGGGATCAACGTGTACTTCCTCAGCCAGTGGCTCATCAGGCTCAAGAACTTCGATCATCTGAGAACCATCAGGCCGGTAAGTCCAAGGGGTCCTCTTGCTTTAGGTTTGATCACTTAGAGATCTCTCTCTGTCTATCTGGCTCTGTCTGCATCTCTCTCTCTCACTCTCTCTCTCTCTCACTCACTCACTCATTTACTCTCTTTCTCTCTCTCTCTGTCTCTCTCTCTCTTTTTCTTTCTCTTTCTCTTTCTCTCTCTCTCTCTCTCTCTCTCTCTCTCTCTCTCTCTCTCTCTCTCTCTCTCTCTCTCTCTCTCTCTCTCTCTCTCTCTCTCTCTCTCTCTCGCCCTGCTTTTTATTTTTCTGTCTACAATAAGGAAATGAGGAAATGGAGTAGGTAGGTGCTAGCTTCACGAGAGAAGTCCTTGTCCGTGACTAATCAAAACTTTCGCCACCAAACAAACTCGCAAAAAGAGTAAGAATTTAAAGATAAAAAACCTGTTTTTCGTCCGGATGAATTTACTGCAGCTTAAGCATACATAATTGCGCCATTAGGAGTACTCCACCCACTCCGCCTGGACTCACGGAGCGGAAACAAAAAGCCCGATCGTCAGCCGAAAGGCCGCGGCGTCAGCGGAAGGTCAGGCTCGCAACTGACGCTTTCCTTTCGATTTCAGGCTTACGACCAACAGTTCCTGTGGATAGGAATCGCGCTGACGCTGGCCGAGGTGGTCATCCTGCTCCTCTTCTGCCTCGTCGGGGGCCTCTTCACGTACAAGGTGAGCGTTCGTGTCCGTTTAAGATGAAAATTCTGAACAGCCTGCGAGGGGGTGAGTGTATAACCTTAAGCGCGGGGCCGCCCGTGCCCAGCCTAGGCCATACTGACCTGCTTCCTCCCCCCAGGTCTGCGAGGAGCGCCGCAGGAGCAGGCGCAGTCTGCACCGCATCCACAAGATGGGTCGCCACGGCCGCGCCACGGCGCCGCCCCTCGACGGCTACGACGACGAGTCGTCGATCGTGCGCGCAAACATCGAGGAGCAGTTCCTGAACCACGGCCTCCACGACTCCACCAACAAACTGCCTCTCCCCGGCTCCACCAGCAGCATGGACGAGGTCGGGCAAGCCAGCACGCTGAGGGCGCCCACGCAGGTCTAGGCGCCGGAGAGGCCGCCCTTGCCTCCGACGGCCGTCCGGGGAGGCCGGGCTGCCCTCTGCGAGAAGTGTTCAGCCCGCCTGCGACGCGACGGGATCTGAGGGAGGCGCTGTGGCTACGGGCCGCCTTCAACCCGAAGGCTTCGGCTGCGCGGCGGTACAGCGGTCGCACAGGTTCCTCAGTCCAGGTATTCATTGCCGTTAGCTTCAGGAATGATTCATGATAGTCGAAAGTCAAGTGCGAGGCATTTCCCCGAGGCAGAGAGACGCTCAGCCTGCATTTGCCGCGCCAGAGTTCACTGCTGGAATAGTTTATCACAGAGAAGTCAGCCGTCATTGCTAGAGTGCCAAAGATATTCCATAATGCCAGTAGAGGGGACTCGACGCGCGAATGCCTCGCGTCTCATGTCTCCCGCAGGTGCTGCCGACTTGTCGAGTCCTTTATTCCGTGTACATAGATAGGTGTATATACTAGGTTCTCAGATTTTCTCTCTTCTTCCTTTGTGTATATTTTGATATTGATGCATCAACTACAACCATGGTACACGTGTCCCTTTTAATAGAGTATTTTTGTGAAGATATGAGACTGTTTAGGGTTAGGACTAAAGTTGCACTTGCTACGTTATGCTAGATTCGGAGCCCACGAAGAGAGATAGGCCTATGCGATTTTTACATTTTTTTAGGATAATTATATGTGTGAACTATAAAAGTTTTCTTACATAATTTTACGACCAGATGTGAATTATATTTAATAATAAAAATCCTTTAATATGGAAATATCATCTTTTGTTTAATCCATATCCCCGAGATACGAATTTGTGGAAGGATTTCATTCCAGTATTATGGAGCATAAACACTATTGAATGAACTGAAACAAATGTGGAGAAAATGTCAGTGAAACAGAAAATAACAAAAGTACAAAGAACGTAAAACAGCCACACTTAATCATTGCAACATATCAACGAGTATTTCCTGAGTCACATTTTTCTAATTACAGTAATGATAATGACAGTGGCCATATCAAGGCTTATTATCAGTTGCATACAATGGGCATTTCTGGTTTTGGAAGACCTAAATACGTTCTTACTCGTTGTTTACACACACACACACACAAAGACATACATACATACATACATATATATATATATATATATATATATATATATATATATATATATATATATATATATATATATATGCATATATATATATGCATATATATATATATATATATATATATATATATATATATATATATATATATATATATATATATACATATATACATATATATATATATATATATATATATATATATATATATATATATATATATATATATATATATATATATATACATACATACACACACACACATATATACATAGATATGTATGCACATAAATCTACAGTATCTATCTATCTATGTAAATATCTATTTGCTTATCAATCCATCTATATATGCATTCATCTATCTCTCTATCTTTACATTAATTTCTCTCAGTGGTTTTAATCAGTTTCAATAAGTCATCTTGTGAAAATTCAGTGATTTTAGAGATTCATCCTGAGACTGATCATCACAGCATAACCCGTTTTTGAGAACAATTTGGAGGGAATAAACCTCCTTTACGATCTTTTTATTTTAATAACATTTCCTATGTCGTATTTAGCCAGACCATAAACACGCGTAGAAAATACTTCCGAGGTTGCATTCTTCTCGCACAAGGCCGCCTTTCGTTGCCAAACTTCCCTGAAGAGAGGCGGCTGGCAACAATAGTATGACGTCATAGTCCCCGGCAACGCGCGTTTACTCATACATCTGGAACGCCCGTTTTTGGCTGAAGGTCGACGAGTATTCATGAACGTTTTCTGAGAGATGGCGTTTGATTTCAGAGATATATCTATTTACATACCAGCCTGTCTGTCAACCTATCTATATACTTATTGGTTTGTGATTAATGATAATGAGAAAAAGAGTGGAAGAAGAACTGCTAGAGAGACAGAGGAAGCGGGAAGGAAAAGATGAAGGAAATGGAGGGAACGAGTGAAAGATAGAGAAAGTGTTACAGTTACTGTGTATATGTATACATTAGTTGATAAATAGGGAGAAAGATAAGCTGATAAAAAAAGAGAAAAAAAAGAACTGGTAGAGAGCTGCAGAATACCTGGAAAACGAGATATTGCTACAAAGCCTTTCCAGTCTGGCTGAACTTCAGTTAACTTGGAAGTTGTTCATATTCGCCTGAAGGGTTAATCACTGTTAGTCCTTTTCAAATTACTTTGCTTTGACCATATTCGTTGCAGTAATTTGGTGTTCTTTATAGTAATTTAGCATTACTAAACAATATTCCTTTGTGAGAAAATACAGGCAAGAGGAGGAGGGTGGTAGGGACCAAGAAATACTACCCAAAATACTCAAATGAATAACCTTTGCTTGATGTAAAGCGCAATGTCATATATTTCCGTTATTCTGTTTCCAAGACCTTGAAATGGACTGTGTGTTATTCCGTATACTGGCGAAAATAATAAGGTATGAAGGTGACATCGCAAAACTCTTTGTGACGAGCTCGGGGGGAAAGCGAAGGCGAAAGAAAGTCTTTGTTGCCACGCGAGAGGGAAGGAATCGATAGAGCACTGGCACCCCGAGCGAAAGGCGAAATGTCGACATGATTCAGAAACTGAAACAATGAGTTTTCTTTTTTTCTGGTAAATTACGATGAATACAGAAGGAAAATAAAAGCGATGTTTAATTCATTGGGGAATTTAATGTCAAAATAGTTTAAAATTTCGTCATACTTTACGCTATTATAATCAAGTACTGTTTTGACCGAGACCTGAGGTACGATCAGTGCTGGGTAGGTCTACCCCAGCCCCGAATGACTCACGGGGAGGAAATCCCGCGGATGTGGCTTTGATGCAAGAGCGTTGGTACGTTCTATGGTCTCCTCTCCCGGTGCCCCTCCTGCCCTCGCTCCCTCCCGCCCGAACACTCCCTCTTTGTTGCTTCACCTCAAGGACAGGTGGCGAAGGGTACTCCGTGATGGTGGGGTTAGCAGAGTGGCAAAGATTTTGTTTTTCTCCTTCATTATCATTCAGATCCCGGACATGCTCGAGCTCTGACTCACTTTCATTCGCGAGGTTTGGGGCTCGTAGGACCCTCTGATTTCTTGTCTCAGGGTATCGTTGGTATACTGAGTGTATTTTTAATATATATATATATATATATATATATATATATATATATATATATATATATATGTAATTTATTTTTTTGCCTTACGGGATTATTGATATACTGAGTATCGTGTGTGTGGCGTGTTTAAAGAGAGTTAAACTGCTTGTGATTATGATTGTTAGTGGTGAGAATGTTCCCCGCAAAGTATAATCGTGTTTGAGAGTAAGTTATTAAAGACAAGAGCTGTGTCTCAGGGTAATATGGAAATTCGCAGTATCATTCTCATCTCTAATTTATGAGAACGAAATTTTCACATTGTATTCTCGACGAAGAAAAACGCCCTTCAATGTATCAATTAAATTATTTCACTGAATGAAATGTCCATCTGTTTACATGGCGCGTGACGCAAGCGTTCGGGGGGACACATCCGCTGATAAGACAGAGAATCTACGTCGCCCCGTTTATTCGTAAACGTCTATATATACTTTATATATATGGCGAGTGTACTGTATTATTGACTGCGGGTAAAGCACGAGCCATTGTATTAAACGAATACCTAGTACTGTGGGTGATTTCAACGCAGCAGTACAGACGAAGAAGAGCATCACTGATTACACTAATGGGGAAGCTTTTGAACCAATTCCGCCAGACAATCGAGGGCGGCCATTATATTGTTGCGCGCCATTTGTCCACTTTTTTTGTTTTGTTCGGAGATAAGACGCCACCAGGGCATCCAAGAGGGTTTATAAATGATACGCAGTTCAAAATAAAGAGTTTGAGACTGTCAAAGGCGCCAGGACGGGAAGACAACCCGCGTGGCAAAGGCTGCTCTTAACTCCGGGTTCCATAGTTGACAGCGAGGCGGTCTGTTCTTGTGACGCCCCGGCGGCTGCCTGACGCACTGTGACCAAATTACCTTTTTGTTTGCGGTAATTCTTCCTAATTCTTGCTTTCACCGAGCGTCGCTGCATCAAATTGTCAACGGGAGACGAGATCCCCCGAGGGCAAGGGAGTACGTCGCCGCAGAACAAAAAAAAAAAAAAAAAGAAAAAGAAAAGAAAAGAGAAAGAAAGAAAAAATCATGGCCGGTTAATGCGTCGCTGGCTCGTGTGCTCGGGCCACCAAATGTTTTTTCTTTCTCTTGTTTTCGTTGAGGTAAACATGTCTAGTGGCCGTGATGCGACGCCCAGAGTTTTCTCCTTTTTTTTTGTCTATACGTTATCCAAATACCATTTCGTTTTCTTCCCTCTGTCTGTCTGTCTCTGTCTTTCTGTCTCTGTCTCTGTCTGTCTGTCTGTCTGTCTCTCTCTCTCTCTCTCTCTCTCTCTCTCTCTCTCTCTCTCTCTCTCTCTCTCTCTCTCTCTCTCTCCCTCCCTCCTCTCTCTCCCTCCCTCCCCCCTCTCTCTTTGTTGCTTTGCCTCCTTCGTGGCTACGTACATAACGTCTAACTATTTTTCTCTGAGATAATTCTAGTCTCAACGAGCAACTTAAAATATTTCAACAAATAAAAGAAATGAACAAAAAAGAAAGAAAGACAAAAACTAATTCTCTTTAGGGAAACGATACAAACCATAGCATCAAAAGGCAAATAAAATCATCAGGACGGAAAGGCCAGGCTATCAACAGACCTTCATGCAGGATTTGGTTGCGCAGGACACCCGTGAGGCTGACGTTGCCTTCAGGATGCTTTCATTGTGTAGGAACCGCTGACGATCATGGAGGTCGTGAAGGATGCCCGGGATTGAGCAGAAGGGCCGGGGGATGCTTTGTTTGTACAAGAATCTATACTATTCCTGAGAAGTATATATATATATATATATATATATATATAATGTATATATATATATATATATATATATATATATATATATATAATATATATATATGTATATATATACATATATATATATATACATATATATATACATATAAATATATATATATATATATATATACACACATACATGTGTGTATG